AATTTTTCATAGTTTTTCATAGGTTCACACAGATTATCAACAGAATAGATAGAGGGATCCTGTGGTGAAATGATTTGATCGATAGAAATTGTAGGTATAAATTATCACCATGGCGGTTCTAGGTCGTCGGACAATGTCATATGATACATCGTTGGAATCAGCTCGATGAGTAGGTGTAGAAAATCACTTCTTAAGCTGGATCTGCTGATATTCCTCCATGGTCAATAGAAGATAATTACTTTAAATCTAACCAAGATGGGATTTTCTAAACATACACATAGAGCTGATTTCAACGATGTACCACATCATTTCTTGGGCTAGATTTAAAGTAATTATCTTCTATTGACCATGGAGGAATATCAGCAGATCCAGCTTAAGAAGTGATTTTCTACACCTACTCATCGAACTGATTCCAACGATGTATTATATGACATTGTCCGATGACCTGGAACCGATATGGTGATAATTCGTACCAGAACCTTCAATCGATCAAATCATTCCATTACAACACCCCTCTATCTATTATGGTTCAAAAGTTATCACCATATCAATATTTTGTAAGTAAACACTTGTAGGTCATATGACCCGTAGGTCAAACGACCCATACCTTATTAACATAATTTAAAATGTCACACATTTTAAAAAATAAGTTGAGTGACCAAAATTTTTAATATTTTTGAAACTGTTTAACTGGCCGCTAAATGGCGGTCTACCTACTACTGCACTTTATTACCTTTTATCCAAAATTTTCATTCAGCCCTAAAGCATACTTCCTTCCAATACAATAGTAAACGGGGGGGCTCCCAGGCTGATAAAAATAGACATTTTGTCCACTTTTGGAAAATTGTTTGGCGAAGTGATAGGTCGGACACGTGAGCACCAGATCCCCGTACAGAGCACTGAACGCTACCGTCAATTGGGACTCATTTGTTGTGTCAATGTTTTTGAGATAATAATCGGACACTCCCTCCACATCTATATTATTGTATTCATCACTCAATTTATTGACAACCTTTTTGAATATCTCGACTGTTAGTCCCGGTGCTCTTATTTGTGGGTACAATGTGATTGCCATCACAGGCCCCTCATCTTTAGTCACTCCAACCATTAATTCAATTTCTAAATGAAATCATTTCGTTGTCAAACAATTACCAGAATAATGATAATCATTTACATTCTTACCAGAATTAAATAGACCTGTGTTCAATGCTTTTTGTGGTAGAAATTGAGTGCCAAACACAGGGTGAGTGAATGCAACCATATTTCCATTTTCGGGAAACTCAATGAAAAGGTTTGGGTCATCAATGGCTCGCAAACAGTCCAACCATTTGTAGTCATATTCATCACAATTAAGACCTTTTGCCAAATCTTTAGCCTTTTTAAGGCCCTCAACTGTACTGAGCGCCGGTCTGTCCTTATTATACAAAACGGATCCGCTTTGCATAACAGCCCTCTTAAACAGACCCTTTGATAGGGGAGACAATACATGTGCCGATACCGCCCAACTGCCACCACTGCCACCAAATATAGTAATTTCATCCTTATCTCCACCAAACAAATGGATATTTTCTCGAACCTGTATTTAATTTTATAAAATATAATAAAATAAATGAAACTATAGGTAGTATTTTACAAAAAATAATACCCATTTTAGTCCTAACAACTTGTCATAAAATCCAATATTACCGGGAGCTGTCTGATCGCCACCATATAAAAAGCCTAACTGTCCGACCCTATAGTTAACGGAAACAATGACCACATCATTGGTGGCCAAAACACTCCCGCTATACATGTCCTTAAATATGGATCCCATACTGAGTGCTCCCCCGTAGAGGTAATACATGACGGGTTTTAACTGTTGATCTTTTGTGTCATTATTATTGTCTACATTTGGTGTCCATATATTGAGTGCTAAACAGTCTTCACTTGTCTTTATTTCACTCACTTTTGTGTATTGAATGCAATAATTGCCAGATTTTGTGCCATCAATGATATCCTAAAAAAATTAAATTATTTTGAATATTGAAAACAAGAAATAAAAACATTTTACTTGTTTAGGTGTCTGTAGTGGTTGTGGTGGACTGAACCTGAGTGGGCCCACCGGGGGCTCAGCATAAGGTATATTCAAGAATTGATTGATTTTGTGATTCACAACATTCAGTGTCTGTCCCCTCACTCCACCCGAACTCGTATTCACGACAACACTATTACTCTCATCGCAAACACACCGAACAATTAAATACATGATTAACAGTAATATAAAGTTTGATTTACTCGTAAGAAACATATTTGAAAATAATTATATCACAAAATTATACTTTATAATAGCTCAGGTCAACTCAGATTTATATGTTTGTTCGCTACAAACGTCTGCGTCCTTCACGACACGTTATGACATATTTGATGACATATTTGATGACATATTTGATGACATATTTGATGACATATTTGATGACATATTTGATGACATATTTGATGACATAACAGTTTTTCTTATTTAATATGAAAACTGGTGATCAGCTATACATCAAAAGATTTTTGCTTCTGGAGAGCTGGGGAGCAGTGAAATAAAATGCAGTCACATATGGCGGCGTAATTTATAACACACCAATAGTGAGCATATATAAATATAACCCCCAAATTGGATTTTAATTGAATCATACGTATAGTACATTCAACGAGGAGTCCGAATATGTGATTAATTTTTATCTCTGACCACGGGTTCCGCCGCAGTGACCCCTTTATCAAGAAATTTTTTTTAATAAATATGGTATATATCATGTGATATATCAATTTGATACAGAAATTTACACGCAATATGTTGGTATCAATAAAAATTTTATAAACAAAAGAAATGGTAAGATTGTGAGTACTTTTCAGCTAAAAATAAGGGTTTCTTATCAGTGAATAGTAACAGAATAATAACACTTTTATATAGATATTGACTAATGTTTAATAAATGTTTAAAAATAGATAAATATACTAATAATCAAATAGCAATACACTATACACTTAAATTGCTCACTCCATTAACTTAACTGTGCACTAGATTAACTTATTATATTTGCAATATTTCAACTCTGAACAATTGTAAATTTACTAAATGGCATATTGTGTCACAATTGAAGTGTAAGACAAAATTAGTTGAGTATAATTAAGCAGAAATCTCAATATTTGTTATTTTTTATTGTAATTATATGTGCCAATTGTGCTCATAATACCAGCACATGACTGTATGCTTGTCCTGTGCCCAGTCCTTATGACTTCAGGCATGGGGGAAGTGATTACATGTGAATTACTGCTATTTATACCACTTTCCCCATATCTTTCGGGCTTGAGTCAAAGACACTGTAGATATAATGTATTGTTTACATTTACATTAGAATTGTTGCTTTTAAAATAATTGTAATAACTAAAAAATAATCATCTCGTTTTGTATGTCAATTATATACTATCTATAGTAATATACTCGATCTGACTATAATTTCTGTTATTAATACAGAAATAATATTAAATTATTATATCTGTTAAATACCATATTAGGTTAATTCACCTTAATACTAAAGTGATTAGAAAATCAGTGGAAAAAGCACTCAACTACCAGCCCCGTGAAAGGGATCGCATATTTCTATCTTACACCATAAGTGGGACGTGGTTGGCCTCGTACTACATAATGTACATAATAAGCAACGGTAGGTTTGCCACTACAGATCCGAAGCACTACGGTAGGCACATGTCGGAGAAAAATGGTGACGCCATGAGACGCTCGAGTTGGAACGGTATTCGGTTGTGTAGTCACACCTGTCGCACATGTTTGGTCCATGGGATTTGCAATTTGACTCATCAACGTCATTAATTACGGTGGAGGAGGGGAGTTAACAAAGCGATCCTATTTACCCCACTTTTTTGATAATTATTTGGTCATGTACGACTTTATATCATAATTAAACTTTAATCATAATCAAAAATATCTAGACTAATTAAACATGGTAATAGTCTTGGGGGTTATACAGTGTGTAGGCCGCCGTCGACCACGAAATTGGATCCGGTCACAAACGACGCGTCATTTGACGTCAAATACAACAAAACTTTTGCCACATCCATGGGCTCACCCGCCCGTCCCAACGGGATCTTTGCCATCCACTCCATTAAATCATCAGATATTACATTATTTACTATTAGACGCACTCTCATAGCCACTGTGTTTATGGGACCGAGACTTTCATAGTAAAAATATTGAAAGTAACAAGCACATTAATATATAGTATTATCCAATTAAATATAAGCACATACTGGACAACGTTAGCCCGGATGCCTTTGGGGCCCAACTCAAGCGCTACGCAGTTTGTGAACATTTGCAGCGCCGCCCTTGACATTGAGTAATGGAAAAGCCCTTTCTATTGACAAATTAATTTAATATTAAATTATTTTAGCAATCTTTATTTAAGGTCATTCAATAAGTATGTACTGTATGTAAAAATGTATGAAAAAGATAACTTAAAAATGAGCACATGTAATAATAACATAATTTTATACAAGGATTAATAGTAGACTGGATTTTGCTATTTAAATAAATTCTAATGGGCAATATATTGAATGATCAAGTATATAAGAATTAAAAATATGATAAATTGGTTTTTATATAACATTGAGACGAAACAGGGCAAGAAAACTAGTGTGACCAACTTGTTAAGTCTATGGGGTTATGTTAAAGTACGTCATTAACGTCATTAATGACGGAGTGGGGTGTGTGTGGAGGTATCGTTTGGGACACTGAAAGTGAGACAAATAAACGCATGCGCTTAACACACACTAAATGTCAGCCATTATTATACTATAGTCAATGAGCACACGTTTTCAGACCATTTATCATTATGTGAATATATTTGTATTGTGTTATAGTTTGTTACATAAAAAGGTTCCGAATCTCAAATGTTTCAGTGATTGAATATACATCTGGTCAAAGTGTTCACATATATAGTTACATATTAAGGGAATAGGGGTATAGCTAAATTAATTAAAACTGTGATATAATTAGTCTAAAATGAGTACAAATCAAAGCAATAAAAACTTAAGAGGAATACCAGTAACATATGAACTACAAGATGTGATAATAAAGCTAAATAACTACTTAAAAGGCCTTCAAAACACAAAACCCCCCGAAACTCAAGAAACCCGATATCATGTCATATGTGATATAACAAACCGTTCCCGGGCAACTATTGCCCGCATTATTTCCCGCATTACCCCGTCCCCCCCGAAGCCTAAAGGTGGGAAAAAACGCAAATTTAGTTGTGATGACAACGATTGTGATATAATTGATGATATTATCTGTGATTTCAATACGAGTGGAATGTGTCCATCCAAACATGACGTACACAAAAGATTGAAATTAATGCCCACTAGTCCTATAAGTTTCAAAAACTGTAGTTTACGTACGTTTTATCGACTTATTAAATTGAAATATAAGTACAAAATCACTAAAAAGTTAATTAGAGAGCGATTAATAAATGAAAAAATTAATATTAACAAACGGATTACATATTTATTGACAAAACGACGATTGGAAACCCTTTCCCCTCAATCACTGCACGTATTTTTGGACGAGACATATGTCCACAAGAATTACGTCAAATACAAAATCTTAACCCCTAAAGACAAACGCAAACAAGTAAAAGTCATTAGAAGTATAGGAAAAGGGACTCGTTATACATTAATTAGTGCTGGATCAGTTGATGGTTTTGTGTTAAACGCAAATTATATTTATATGAATCAAACAATTAACGGTAAACTATTTAATCATTGGATTACACACAATTTGTTACCAAACCTCCCTTCAAATAGTGTCGTTATTTATGACAATGCCTCTATTCATACCGTTACATACAATAAACCCCCGGTACAAAGTGCATCAAAAGTGAAACTCATTCAATACTTAACTAAAAATAAAATACAATTTAATATTAACTCAAATAAAGAAGAATTGCATAAAATAATTAAAGAAAATATTAATAATAATAATATTGACACACATTATGAAACCGATCAACTTATAAGGGAGGCGGGTCACACACCCCTCAGATTACCCCCTTATGGCTGTGAACTCAATCCTATAGAGCTTATTTTCGCACAATTTAAGCATTTAATATCTAAATATAATTTTAACAATAATACTATTCAGTTTCAAAATTTATTATTTAATACTTTAGATATGATTAGCGCTGAAAAGTGGGCTAAATGTATCAGACATTGTGTTAAAATAGAAGGTGATGAATGGATTAGACTTAAAATCCCTAATATTTGTATTTCTGAACATAATTATACATTAAATTCTGAATAAAAATAGTTTTAATTAACTTTAAAAGTTTTGTATATTATAAATATATACAACTGTATCATTCATGGCAATATGGCACCCATTCACGTGACTATCTCACGTTCAATGGCACAGACAATAGTACAGAGTGATTTGATAAACCACGTTTTAATGCTTAAATGCTGGTAATAATATTCTGAATAATTATTGTAGTTAAATCTATTGATATATACTGATGTTTTAAAATAGATTTAACTATATTTGTTATGTTAATAATGTATAAAAAATAATATTCTAAATATGGCTTTAAAACATTTGTCCTGGAATATTATTAAATATTTATATGAAAATCCAGGAATTCTAAGTTTCGAGTTGGTCACACTAGCTTTCATGCCGTTTCCCGTCTCTATGTTATATAATATAAATACCGGTTTAAAGGCCAAAATGCTCGACATGTTAACGATATTACCCTTAGTTTTCTCCAAATGCTCGACACATAAGTGAGTCAACCATACGACTGACCGCAGGTTTGTGTTCATAATGAGCTCATACTTATCGAGGATATCCCCGTCCCTTATGCTCGACCCTACACCTCGACCCGCTTTGTTGACTAAAATGTCCAACTTTTTGAACGTCTTAATAGTGTCGGAGACTAATCGGCGACAGTCGTCGTCGTTGGTGACATCGGCCACCACTTCCAGGGCTTTAGCACCGGTAGGCGACGCCTCAGCGCACAGTTTGGCCACAGCGGACACCCTATCCTCCCTGCGACCGGTGACCACCGCTTGAGCCCCGAGTCGAGAGAACTCAACAGCAGTGACAGCACCGATGCCACCGCTCGAGCCGGTGATCAGCACTACTTTTCCCGTGAAATCTCTGGAAGTCGTCATCATTTTAGACTAAAGTAAATATGTCTTAAATTTTATGTGAATATAGAGTTTTTGTGTAAAGCAATGAAATGGTGAATTTAAAATGTATGCTAGCACAAACAATATTTTCAAAAAGTAGTGTTT